AGAAGTACCACCCCTAGGTTATAATATCCATCAATATAATATAATATCTATTAAAACACTTCATGTGCATTAAATACATTGTAAATACATCATATTAATAATATCAATGTGTAAGCAGCATATGTAAACAAAAATGAACACATGAGAAAAGTGCCACTGTACAAATAAAGTGCATACTTAATGTATACAGTGTACACTAACCAAAGTGTCACAATGTGATTAGAAAAATTTAATAAAGTGCATAAAGTTCATGTATAAAGTGACACAGTAAAATAATTAAGCAATACAATGTATAATGATCAGAATTCATGTGCTATGTATCATAATATGACTATAGCGCAAATATATATTATAAAGTGTATATAGTGCAATGTGATTATAAAAAGATTAAATTGTCATTATATAAATGTACAAAGGGGGCGGGGCCTGACCGCTGAGCTGAGCGGACACAGGCAGCAACAGCTCCGGTGCCGACCAACAATTCAAGTGGCTTTAGCCAACACAAACTACCAACTCGGGCACCTAGAGGCTGACACCAGACAGAGATAATCGAGATCTCCACGAAGATATCTCACACGCCGGTAAAACGCTCGGCACCAACATGCGGCCTCCTCACATGGGCGGCGCGGGAGGGACGGCCGCTTCCCGCAGCCTCTATACCCTGCTACCACATCACAGGACCCACATTCCCCCCCCCCCCACGGACCAGCGGGGGTCATCGCAGTACACATTACACGGAGCCACAAGAACGCATCAGCACCCATGACTGTAAATAATCTGCAACTAGTAACCAAGATGGCGGCCGCCGACCATGCTTCTGGGCCCGCAACCACCCAGCCTCTACAAGCGAATATAGCAAGCGAGTTTCCTCATGAGGATCAAACAGCAGCTGCCTTCGATCACTTCTGGGCAAGATTATGGGCCCTAACGGCACAGACCCCAACAGCCCAACCAGTCGAGAGACAGCTCATCACCTCCCCTGCACATACCTCAGCTCCGACAAGTAACACAGCACCACTGACAGGGACAAACCAGGAGAGTGGAATGAGGACTAAACCCCGACCGACAGGCTGCGGACCACGCAATAGTCACCGCCAGCCGGGGTCCCGACGAAAGCGGAGAACCCACACACATGGCCCATGGCCACTTAAGATACAGAGAAGCCCCAGGGACGTCGGCGCTCGGCCTATGACCAGCAACACCACGTTGGACACCTCGCATACTAACTGTTTAAAATCCTGTAAGGCCATTATAAGAGCACAGAAGGGCTCCTACCCCACGATAGGAGGTATAACTCTGCTATCAGCCCACAGATCAACAAGGGGAGTGGAGAGGCCCGCATACCGCTGGGAACATGCGCTCGCCATGCGCAATAGCCACAGAAGACCAGAAAGAGGCAACAGAGCCCCTCCAGCTCTCTCAGCAGCGGTGCCAGAGTAATGCTGAGCTGGGTCTGTGGCATCAGCTGACACTTCGGCCATGGACTCTGCACCTACCTCTGGCACAACTGAACCATAAGGCTATAGTATTTTATTTTAGTTTACCGCTGGTATTATTATTAATCTTATGTTTATTAGGGCTACGTTTTATTATAGGATAACACAACAGATCACTACTATCTCCTAGCCGGTTACATAACTCTGTGTAAATCTAACTGCCATTAAGCACAAAACACACTTAATATGCACAGGCCATCGATCAATTATAAATACGGTGTAGTACCACCTTAAGATATGCCCTGCACACAGTTAACTTGTTATAGAGAGTACACATGTAGAAGAGGCACCAATTCTCAGCCCAGCACACTCCACGAGCATAGAATATAAATGTACAAATACTTATAGTGCAAGAAAAGAAGCGATACAGTATGTCCAAATCAGAGTGGTCCCACAAAGGTCCAGAATTTAAATTTGAGAAGGGATTAGCACCAAATTTCTACCAGGAGTCCTTTTGAGAGAACAGCAAGTTCATCATCCATTAAGGTTGTTGCAGAGATGTTAATTACTGTAGTTTCTTTCTCTTTGGTCCCAGTTTCTTGTGGTCCCAAATTGCTGGTAATGTCTGATTTCTTGTGACCACCCCCACGTTGTCGCATCCTTCTGCGCTTGCTTCTGCTCGTGAGGAGGGGGTTCTCTATAAAAAAGAGAGAGAACTCTCCTGGGAGTTTTCCATATCTGTATTAGATGAATCCCCACCATTAGGGCAGTTGGATTTCTGTGTCTTTTTTCTCCTAGGTACTTCCCTTTTCTTAGAGGGATAGCTTCTCACACTATCATGATTATGCCACCTATAAACATTGACCATCTTGTAATCAGTCCGATCTCTCTGGGATTTATTCCTCTTCCATTGTAGCAGGGTGTAATTTCTTCAGTGTTGTCACATGAAAAGATATTTACAAAAATGTGAAGGGTGTACTCCATTTTGTAAGATACTGTATATGAAATGTCCTCAAGCAGACAGAGAATAAACAAGAGACAAGCAGAGGTCAGGATTATCGAAATACACGGAATCGATTGCCAGGCCAAGATCAGGATAACCGAGATCAGAAAACAGGAAATCTAATACACTGTATAAACACTCTCTCAGGTAACCAGAACCACGACAGGGCAACGAAACAAGGACAATCCGGAAGTACATATACCCTATACTGGGTTGTGATTAGTCAAAGAGGACCGTGATGTCACAAGTCTGTACACATCATCAAAAAGTGACACATGGGCTGACACTATAAAAGGAGATTAATGGGAGGGATCCACATCATATATGATGTTATAATAAGGCACTAGGAAGCTAGGGATGAATGTGTGCACATCAGAACTCAGAAAATACCTAATTTTTGTGATCACACAGCACCACGAGGGACAGGTTATTAGTCGATATATGATGTCAATTATATCCCTCTTATGCAGTTTATTGAATGATGCCAATATGCACTTTATCTTATATGCATGATACCAAGTTGCATCTCTGAACTCCTTAGTTATATCCCCGAATTTGGAGCTGTATTGAGTTTTATCCTTAAAGCCCCTAAAACTGTATCCATGAATCCTCATTGGCATCCCCGATGTACTAATTGGTTTTAAATCTGTTTTTATTGAGGTCAACACAATAAGCAGTTTTCCCACGCAGGGGATATAATGTAAACAATGCATTTGTTATGGAAAAACATGGGTAGTTATGTGTACAAGTTTATCATAGCATGTTATAGCCCTATAATGTGGTACACTTGAAATATGTTTCTCCTTTTCCTCTCTTTTTTTTTCTCTGCGTCGGCTGAGTTCAAGATGGGGCCTAACATGTCACTATGTGGTCAAATTGTGTCTAACTAAGCCTGTGGCAAAGCTTTCAGTATATGTAACCCTATGTAATTAAGTAAACTTTGCCTTTCAATCATAAGTTTAATATGGGTCAGTGGATGGATAACTAACTACAGCATCGTACCATATAGCTTCTGGGTACTATAGGGCACCGTTGTCGTATGTGCTTGCTAAAGCCACTTGTGTCATCCTATAGACAATTCCAATATAAGTTGTGCCACATGCCATATTCGCATTTGGTTTGCCAGTAATTTGATTACTATGGCTAACATGCAGCCTATGTTTGCTGAAGCCGTTTGTCTCTTAACTGTGTATAATGAATTATGGCATAGGCCTGCAACAACAATGAATGCAAAAAAAAAAAAAAATTGAAAATCAATTGTAAGAACTATAACAGAGGCTAGTAGTATTATGCAATGTAAGTGAAGCAATGTATAGACAGGCGAATGTAATTTCAATGGAGATGTCCATCACATAACGTGCAATCTGATGTAGACAGTGGTTAGTTATGCCATGCAGGTATTTGAAGGCAAACAAGATTTTTATAACCTAAACATAGGTTGCAGATATGTCATAGTGCATTTGCTGCCAACAGTGATGGGAAAAAGTGAGTCACTTCATGGGGAGTAGGAACATGCTGCGCTGTGTCGTTGCACATAATAGGTTAAGGAGAGCAGTGTCGATTGCACCATAAGTGAGCTACCTCCGTGGTTGCCCCCATAGGCCTCCAAGCATGCCTGTCCTCCATCAGTCCTCCCTGGGGCTGACCCATCCCGCCGGTTTAGCGTTCTGTGGTGCCGTGGGCACTCAAAGTCCAAATCTGTCCCCTAGACCCTCCACACCTAGAGTCCAGGTTCTGACTGTCTCCTGCACCTCCCCAGCGCCACTTCAGCCTCTGTGAAGCACTTGGACCCTCATGTCTCACCTGGCGCCGGCCACACACTTAGGACTGGGGCACCTTCCTCACGGCCACCGGTACACCGGAAAGGTCTGTGCGTTCCCGTCCCACAGGACTCACTGCGGCAGGGACAATCTCCCCTGGGCCACCCCCGAAACCCAAAGGCAGGGACTGGTACTTCTCCAGGGTGCAGGCCGCCCAGGGTATCCCTCTGCAGGGCAGCAGCTGTTGGGGCCATCGAAGCAATGCGGGGAAGCCGCTCCATGAAGGTGAGTCTCCCCTGACATGCTTGCATTGCAGTGAATTTGTGTAGCAGTTCCTTTTACTGGGTGGGAGGCCGCCAGCACTCCCGACCCCTTCTGATCCCCTTGGGTGTCGCCGAAGCAGGGACTCATGGGCCAGGACAACCCCCACCGGCCCGGGGGGGGGGGAGCGGGGCCGGGCCCCCCCTTCAACATGTGCTTGTGTTTCATCAGACCTCCGTCCTGTTGGTCTCCACAACTAGGCCTGGGTGCATGTGTCCGCAGCGTGTCACGATCTACCAGCAACCGGCTTCGCCCGACAACAGGCGGGTTCCTCCTCGTGCACCTCACGTTTTCCCGGGTTCTGTTGGGCATCGGAGGTAAGAAAATTGCCTTTTTTTAGCGGCACAATGCAGGAGCTAGCGAAGATGGCTGCCGCTCCGCTCGGCGGCCCGGCCCCGCCCCGATGTACTAATTGGCATCCCCGAACTTCTTTACAGCTACTGAATTTGTAACCGAATATTTACGAGTGCTTGGAAGCCTAAGAATAAAATTTAACAGAAAATTCAGAATGAAAGACAGAAGCTGCCTCCTTCCTCCGCCCACCTCAAGCATTAAAAGAAGGGAAGGAAATTCGAATTCCACAGAAAGTCATTGATAAAGCCACATGTTTTGGCCAGATACACTTCTATAAGAAGAAAGCAAGCTGCACTCAACTGAATGTGGAGCCCCTCCTGGACCTCAACAGAATATGGAGCCTTTCCAGTATCCAGGTGATATTGAGAAATGTAGTGGCACCCAGTGGATATCATGCCCTCCAGCGGTTCACGGCTTCTATGTTTAACATAAGGATTGTGCTCTTTTTCATTTCAGTACATCTCTAAGGGATATTGGAGATAGCACTACTTTTGAACTAAAGGACTTGGTTTACTGGAATTACGATCTATTGATTTTGAAGGGAAATGGTTTACAAGGGGATTTTGTTTTATGTTTTTATTGGATTTATATTTGGTCTTTCAAAAGCCTTTTTTTGTTGTATTTCTTGTACATATTCAGATTGTTTGCTCTGGATATGAGAGCAATAGGTGGTGTTTATTGTAAATATGTTATCATAGCACTAGTTGCAACTATACAGCATGGCAACCACGGCTGTTTTAATTGGTTTGTAATATAGTGAAAAGGAACAAAAAAATTAATAAATGGGTATAAATTATGGTAAACCATTTTTCAATTACATTTCATCCTGAATGCATGAAAATATGAACAGTAATTGAATGCAGTCTGTGGCCCTTCCACACTTTAAAGTGCTTCTTTAACAAAAAAATAAGTGCTCACCTCAGACAGGCCAATTACTCGCAAATGATGAAGTCAAGAGGAAAGTAGCTAAATTTATTTACTTGAGTGATCACAACCACAAGCAAATGATTAGTTCCAACCGCACCAGCAGGGATGTGATGGGGACGTTCACTACGGAAGACTTCAAATAGTCATTTCCTTGGTTAAAATAAAATCTGACTGCACTAAATAGACAGTTTTTAATCTCAATTGGACATCTGAAGATTTCTCAAGCTGTTGTTGGCTGCAGCAGAAACCTTTTCTAATATATTTTTTTCCCTTTGTTGATTAAACCAGTGGTCCCTGCTATTGCTTATCGGCCTGCGACGAGCTGTTCTTTTTAATTAAAAGTGAGCCACCACGAGAGAGCAATTAACAGCTAGTAATTACTGTGCTCTTCAGAACTGCTACATTTTGCCTTTCATTCCAATTATATAATGGACAAGTGGCTTTTTGATCTTCAAATTAGTGAGCTCTTGTACTATTTGTTTTGAGGCAGATTTGGAAGGTTAATGATGGCCTGCAGTGGCAGTCTTTGCAATGACTGAAGTAAAGCAGGAAAACAGGAACAGTCTATCAAAAATGCAAATTGCACCTTTATGATAATGAACAGGAGATATACAGGCGCTGTAGCATGCGGGTTTAGTG